GCGGGGGAAGCTCGGCGGCTCCGCGGACAGGGAAGGGCGCTGTTTGTGGCCACCCCACTTGGAGTGCGGCTACCGTAGAGGATGTTCCGGTGCGGATCCAGCGCCAGAGCGGCTCCAGGGAGTCCGAAAGGACGCCCAGACCTCCTTGCTTCTCAGAAGACTAGTCTGGCACTTGCTCTGCTCATGCCCGAAAAATCTATTTGCAGCCGAGAGGTGGGATTTTTATTTAAATTCCTGTGTATAAAACAAGGGAAAAATTGTGTCAGCATACTTGCTATAAATGCAGATTTATTAGGAGCTGTACTCCAAGTATACACTTACATGCCCGGTAGGCTATGAACACTGCACTCTGCTGCAAGAACTAAGCAGGTTAGGAGAGACAGCATATTAAAGGAAGAAAGGTACTGTGCTTGCACACTGAAAGTAGTTTCATGTAGATGGGAACACTGCCTACAAAAGTATTCTTAGTTTGGAGCAGCAGTTTGAGTGCAGTCCTTGCTTGTTTGATCTCAAGAGTTGCTAAGCTTTTCAAGTCTGTTGTAGTACAAGCATTTTCACCTGTAGTAGAGCATTACGTTAGTTCTTTAGATGGGATACCATAGTCTAAAAACCTTATTCTTAACTTTTCTGAAGGAATACCCATTACCAGTGCCTCGTACTATGCCACCATGACGCTTGAGCAGGTTAGGCATGTATTTCGCTCTGACACGGAAGTTCCTATGCCTTTGATTGAGGAGAGACACCGGGTGCTGAATGAAAGTGGAACAGTTCTGCTGGAGAAGTTTGGAGGGTCTTTCCTCACATGTGTTAAAATGAGTGAAAAAAGTGCTCAGAAGCTACTACACTTGGTAGTGGGAAATTTCCCTTCTTACAGAGATGAAGCTATATTTGAGGTAAGTTGTTTCCAACATTGAATTTTTATTTTAAGAATTTACTCATTGTGGTTTTGAAGTATAGATATTAAGATGTCCTTGAAAATTCTTCTGAAATGATTGTTCAGAAATGATCCAAATTTATGATTTTTTTTTTAATCCGAAAGAGCAGAAGGAGTACAGAAGTATTTCTATGAAAGTTAGTGTGTTCAAAAATAAAATTAAAGAGAAATAAGGAAAATACCATTATTTTAGGTTTTCACTTCAAGTCTGTAATACGTATATTTCAAAAGAAAATGGGACTTTGAGACTGTTGTTATTTATTACTGCTAGCAACACATATTGTTAAGACAGGATTTTTTTCCTTTTTCCTATTTTCCTTTGAGACAATACTTCTGAACCAAACTATGCTTTTTAATAAGATATGGTAAAATTGTTTTAATTTTCTATTGATCCTATCTCTAAAAACAAGATAACACAATTTGTTAATAAAATTTTGCTTAAGTTGTTGAAATTCAATTTTATGTTCCTTATGAGTCACTTCTTTGCAGAAAAAGACTTTATGTATATGTGTGTGTGTGTATATATATATATATATATATATACACCATGTATATGTATATACTGTCTCTGTTTTCACCATTCTATTGTTGTTGATATCATGATATAGTCCTGTTTCCAGTTCAGTCAGTAGCACATTGTACCCACTGCATATACATGGTGTTTCAGGTAATTTTTGCCTGAAAAGTCAGAATCAGCTTCTAATCCTCGTCCCCTCCACTTTATCTTGAGTTTTTCAGCAGCTGATGAAAGAAATGAGACTCTGATAAAATTGTGAAAATGTACAATTATTGTTGGTTCAGTAGACACTTCATGAACAACTGCTGACTGGAATGAAGCCACACTGTCATGCTTTTATTCTGATTTACTGAATTTTTGAATCAGTTTTCCTGAAAGAAGAAAGCTTCTAGGAAATTGTGTCTGGCATCTTCTGGGTCTTAAGTTTGTCTGTACAGATATCAGTGATCTCAGCATAACTACCAGTGATATATATAACTATGGTTGTGTTCAGTCCTATCTACACTATTCATTCACCTGTTAGGTCTGGAAGACCTTTTTCTAGTGATAGACCAGCTGTAATAATAGCTTGTGCAGCCTTTTCAAGGGTACTCACTGGAACATGGTTCACTGGGGCTTTAAGTTAATTGAAACAACTACTGAAGTCTGCTCTTATGTAGGTAATGTAATTTTATTTTTTGGTGTCTCCTAGTGTGGAATAGCATCATATTTACATGAACAACCACAGGCTATTGCTAACTAATCTTAGAAGTTACTAATTTAATTATCTTTATTTATTTATTACATATAACCTTTTGTACATATAAATATTTAGAAGGTTTGTGTGCTTGATCAAAAAGGAAATATTTTTGAAGCGATATATGGAATATTTTTCTTTATATTGACTGTATTCATTGATGTAATGCTTTAATGAGGTGGTTCTGAGTGCTTTCTAAAGCAAGTCTCACTATGAGCAGAACAGACTACAAAATGAAAAGCTGTTCCAAAAATCACCCCAGGCTGTAAGCATTGGCATAGTAGTAAAGCCTCCTGTGCCATTATGGAAGCTGTTTTTCAGCTTTTACAAAGTAAGCTCTGTATTTTGAGGATGGGTGAAATAATATAGACCAAGTTTATACCCTACTTGTAAGAAAGCCAGTGCTAGAACCTGATTACCAGAGTGTCAGGGGTCATACTATCAATGTTGTTTATTTGGCAGCAGATTCAGATATCATCAGTAAGACATTGCCTTCAGCACAGGAATAGCAGGAAATTGAAATCAAGGTGAGAAATCTATAAAAAAGCAGTGATCTTCAGTAACTCTCAATAGCAGAAATATGTATGATAAATAAAATCTGTAGTAGATGCATATTATCAAGGCTCTAGAATTACATGGATAGACTGTGACAGCTTTCTTCAATTATATTCTGACTTCCTAGAGTAGCTTCTAAAATCAAGATAATTCTTTGGCTATATGTTTTGCGAAACACAAAATATTTTACAGAACTTCACATCAATGAGTGTATTTTTATAAATAGGCTATGTTCCTTTTCTTCTGAAAAGTGAATTGCCAACTTGGGACTGAGGTTATAAAATAATAATGATCCACCTTTTTCCTTTTTTTTTTTCGCTTGCTGGGGTGTTTTTATTTTTTACAAACCCAGTATTCCTTCTTGCTCTTTATATAAGTGGTTCAGAGTTAGTTACATGTGATGATACTGACTCACTGTAGCAAGGAAGAGGTACAAATGTCCTCAATCTGGTAGTTTCTCCTGGAAAGTGAGGGTGTTCTTGAAAAAGCACTCTAGTAGTAAGGTAGTAGTAGGTTGCCATCAGGTAAAATACTCTATTTTTGAACAGATGTTACTCTCGTTTGGATGCTTTAGTATCCACCTAAGGCTGTTGTTGCTGTTCTGTTTAAAAGAATGGTGGATAATTTTATTGCAAATGCTAAGTAGTATTTTTCATAAATAGAACTTCACATAAACTTTAGCAGGTCTGTACAGTATAGAAATTAATGGTAATGGAAGCTATGAAATCCATGTTCTTGATGAAAAATCCCAGGCAATATTTTCCTTCCAAATTAAATTGCTGCATGAGAGGAAGACTGCCATTTGAATTCTTCTCCCTCCTGATTTTGTAAAATGGTATAGTGCTGGAGTCTATCAGTTCTTTACTGTGTTGGAAAACTCTCAGTGCTATCAGAAAAGCAATCCTGGTCGTAGTTTTTCATTAACTTCAGAGCTGTAGGAGATATAAGGGGATTTGGAGATTTGGTCCATTAATTATTGACTTCCTATTGTGATGTTTTAAATGGCATTTTATTATTTAACATAATCTAGATTGCCTAGTTTGTAGAAGTAAGTTTATCTGTCCCAAAGTAGGAAATACAATACACAGAAAAGCAGTTTTCAAAATGTTTGCAGAAGTTACTGTCCTGTGAAACATAGTAAAACATCTTGTTTTCAGGGTTTTTGGAGAATAACAATATTAAAAAGTATGCCTTGTTTTCTGGAATAGTCTGTAGTATCTTGGCAGTAGAAATTAAATGAAGTTTTAAAATGGCATTTGTAATTTGTGACTATGTGAGAAGGGTTGTAGAGTAAAACTTGAAATATCAAATCCCCATGTATTATACAGTAGCTGTTTCTCTTTGGTAGGCACACTTTACAAAACATTGAAAATCTATAAATTTTATTTTTAGCTAAATAAATTTTACTTTTAGCTATAAATTGAAAGAAATGCTAACTCACATGTAGCTTTTTTTAAGTGCACATTTACACTTTTTGTTTTGTCACAAAGTGAAATCTTAAAATCATTTAGGACATAGCACATCTTCAGCTTTTCTCTTTGTAAGTAATCACAAAGACCTATACATTTTTGCAGATTTAGCTCCATCCATTTTTTTTTTTTTCGTTTTAACTAGCAAGATCTACTATACACTGAAGAGCAGAAGTTCTCACTAGAATTTTATTTCCTTAACATTAGGAGTAAGATGATTAACAAAATATGTCAGTCATCTGATTATGATACATGCTGCTTATCTTTCTCCTTTCTAAACAGAAGATTCAATGAGCTCTAAGGTTTCTGAAAGAATTTGTGTTTGCTAGACTCTAAGGAGCATGTTTTTCCAGTGTAAATAAATGCTTATGGATTCTGAGATGTAAGTGTAATCTAAGCATTTTTCTATTGAATTGCAGTAATTCATAGTGTGTCTCTCTCAAAAGTTTGAGGAGTCCATGTGGTATTTATTTGTTGTCCAACAGTCCTAATTTTAAGGTGTTCATAATGTTGTCATGTAATTTTTTCTTTATAATTATGTCTGATTTGAGATTTTTTCTTTATCAGAATAAAAAAGTGACCTTTTACAAACGAGCACAAATACTTGTGGCTGATACCTGGAGTGTGTTAGATGGCAAAGGAGATGGCTGCTTCGGTGACATTTCTAGTCTGACTATATTTGCTGACTACAGGATCCCTCAAGTTCTCATTCACTTTAAAGCAATGAAATACTCCGAGGAGCTCATGAAAAAACTCCGCAAAGGTTTGTGTTGAATAGTTGTGTTTTCTGATTGACAACAGCTTTCTGTAGACAAAAGCTAATTTTAAAGTGTAATATTTTGTAACCATGAGGGTATTCTTTTTCGTCTCTAAGGTATAAGGACTTTTTATGTAGTGATGGAGTGACCAGGGAGATTTCATTTTCTATTAGTAATGTTAAATGAGATGTTTATTTTTTTTTCTCTCTTAATAAAGATCAAACTGTTCCTTTTATTAAACACTAATGAGGGAAGATTAAATAAACTCTAAGCCAGATGATATCTGAGTTTCAAAAAGGCCACTGCTGGGAAAACTCGTTTCAGCGGACATGTAATTTTGATTTTCAGGTTTAGACAACAGAAGCATCAATTTCTTCATTAGTTCAGAAAAAAAAATGGAGTTTCCTGTTTATTTTTACTGAAGTGTTAGCAACTACTGTTTTTATAAAGACAAGCAATATTCATATTTGTCAATTTAAAAATATGCTGAGCTTTTATTGAAGATAATCATACAGGATGAGAAATGAATCTCAGTTTTTAAGCATTTACTTTTCCTGCACGTACTAACTATGAAGTTCAATGAGTAAAAACATAAATAAATCCTTATGCTGTGTAAAGTGACTGTTTATAAGGAGAACTGCTGTTACCCAATTCTAACATTACACAGCAGGATAAACACAATTGCCTGTGAATCTTAGTAGAATGGCTTGGATAGGCATATTCTTGTTGTATAGGATTCATGGAAAAGAAACTGTCCACATGATAGATTTAATGTCTCATTACTCTAATTAGAGTCAAACTCTAATACTTTCAGCATTTTAATTGAACTTGAGACAAACTTACATGTTGGTAAACTTGAAACATCCCAAAGAGAATGTGCAACAACAAAGTTATTGATGGTAGTGTTAACTGTGAAAATTGCAGTCCAAAGATGGAATAAAAATGAATGAATAAAAAGAGAAAATTCAATTTTTGAATTTTTACATTTTGAATTTTTTAAAACAATTTGGGGCTTTGGTGTCTCAAACATAATTGCTGTTTCTTGTGTCCTGCAGGAACAATTCTCCAGTCTGGAGACAGGCAGGAGGTGGAGATCCGTGGTTGCTCTATCTGGTGTTGTGCATTGATTTGTAAGCATCTGCTGGAGCTCTATGAGAAGAAGGGCCAGGACATGCGTGGAAAGATCAATGCGGTTTTACTTGACTACTATCTTTGGGACTATGCCAGGGATCACCGTGAAGACATGAAAGATACTCCGTTTCATAGAGTACGGTGTATATATTATTAATGCCAATCTGATAGCACTTTGTAGTGAGGTGTTACTCTGTATTACTCTATTCATGCTGTCAAATACCAATTTGGAACTTGCTACTTGCTTTCTACTGATATGTTTAATAATTCTTGATAATTTTTTTCTTCCTCTGGATCTTTCAGTAGCCATGACTGGAATTAATAAGGGGAAAACCTGAACTAATATAGATTATTGCTCTCAGTTCTGTGTTTGCTTTTGTATATACGTACACGTATGTATGTAGCACAGCTGCCTCCAGGAAGTTGTTCTTAAAGCGACGTGGTGCCTGCACCTACCTTGTCAAAGCTATGTGGCGAATATGTTGTTTTTGCCCAGAGCTCCTGAGCATTTCCTGTCACAAAGGGTTAGGGCTATTCGATTATTAAACAATAACAATAATATTGTGCCCAGAGCTCCTGAGCATTTCCTGTCACAAAGGGTTAGGGCTTCGATTATTAAACCGTAACAATAACGGTAATGGCTGCGCCGTCCCTGGTCACGTTATCAGCCGCCCGCGCTCCCATGGAG